GCAAGTGGTGGCGACGGCAAACCTCGTGGATGGACTCTACTGGCTCCAGACGCCTCAGCGATCGGCGAATGCGGCGACCAGTGGGAAGACGGTCGACTTACACGCGCGTATGGGTCACGCTCCGGTGGAGGTGCTTCGCAAGATGGTCGACAACAACATGATCAAGGACGCGAAGGCACCTTCCAAGTCGAGTGGACCAAGCGTGTGTCGCGGCTGCCAGCAAGGGAAAATGGTCCAGAAGCCGTTCCCAAGCAACCGTGACAAGCGTCACTACGACACGTTCGAGCTGCTCCACTTCGACGTGTGCGGCCCCATGGAAGAAGAGTCACTGGGTGGCAGCAAGTATCTGTTGCTGATCCTGGACGAAGCCAGCGGATGCATGAAGGGGGTCTGCCTGCGTGCCAAGTCGGAGAGCGAGGACTGCATCAAGATGTACGTCACGAAGGTGCAGACGCAGTTCGGCAAGAAGGTCAAGTTTGTGCGGCACGACGGAGCCCGTGAGTTCGCGACCAACTCGCTCAAGGCCTTCTACGAAGTCGAAGGCATCGAGCAGCAAACCACGGTTCCGCACGCGCACCAGACCAACGACACGGCAGAACGCGCCATCCGGACCATCGTCACGATTGGCCGCAGCATGCTGCATCACGCCAAGCTGGACAGAGCTTCTGGGCTGAGGCTGTTGTCAAGACTGATGTGACGACGCCCCGCCAAGCGACCGTGTGACGTGAACGCGTCATCAGTGAGGTCGGCGTGACCTTCACTGTGTGGTACCGAAATCATTCAGGTGATTACGGGACGATGATTACGTCACGGTGATTACGCCAAGATTGTGGGTACAAGATGGGCATCGACGTGGCGTTCTCTGATTGGATAAGGTAACTGTGTATCCAGTAGAGAATCCAGTAGGGTGTATCCAGTAAGAGGTATCCAGTAGCAGGCTTAGAGGTAGCACGCGGTTGCGAACTAAGGACCTGAATCGAATCACTTTGCATTTTGCCAACTACTGCTCAAGTGCTCTTCCTTTTGGTTATGAGCCCAAGCCCCGTCTTCCCTGACCAAGACCCCGACTACGCCTTCGCCATGGACGCCGCCCCGACCGCGACCGCCCGCATCAACAAGTTCGACGGAACCAACTTCCACACATGGAAGTTCAAGATGCAGATGGTGCTGGAGGAGCGCGAACTGTGGGAAGTGACGAGTGGGGAAGTGAAGCTCGAGCAGTGCACGACCGCGGCGGACCAAGCGACGTTTCGCAAGAAGTCGCGCAAGGCGCTGGCGATCGTCTGTCTCGCGTTGGAGGACTCGCAGCTGCCGCTGGTGCGGTCGGCGAAGGACGCGCATGATGCATGGTCAAGACTCGAGGGACACTTCGAGAAGAAGAGCCTGGCGAACAAGCTCTTTCTTCGTCGACGGTTCTTCACGACAACGATGGACGAAGGTGATGATGTGCTGGAGCACATTAACAAGCTCAAGACGCTGGCGGAACAGCTCGACGCGGTCGGCGCTCCGGTCAGCGAGGACGACTTGGTGATCACGCTTCTTGCCAGTCTGAGCGAGTCGTACCAGTTCCTCATCACGGCGTTGGAATCGCGCTCCGACACGCTGACGTGGGAGCTCGTGACGTCTCGGCTCCTGCACGAGGACATGAAGCGCAAGGAACAAGGTGGCGGTGCTGACGGAACCGCGCACGCTCAAGGTCAAGCGTTCATGACAAGCGACAACGGGAAGCGCAAGGGACGGCAGGCGCAAGCGCAGAGGACGAGCGCCTGTCACTACTGCGGCGAGCACGGACATTGGATCGCCAAGTGTCCGGTGCGGATCCGCGAGAACGGGGAGCGGCAGAGGCCGCAACGAGCGAACGTCGCGCAGGTCGAAGATGACTCTGGCGACTTCCTCTTCTCGGTTGGTGGCGACACGGGTGCCTCCAAGCTGAGCGGCATGTGGCTGGTCGACTCGGGTGCGACGCAGCACATGACGTACTCGAAGGAGTACATGAAGAACTACAAGAAGATCTCTCCGGTGGACGTGCATCTGGCGGACGACGGCGTGGTTCAGGCGGTGGGGAGC